AGTCGCTTGCGACTCATAGCGACCCTATGTACAACAGCCCTAAACTCCACTCTGTCCTGTGCCAATCGCACTGTCTCCGACACTCCCATTCCAATTATCCCAGTCACTGAATCAATCCACCTCATAGAGGGCCTTCCTCTCCTGCACTGTCCCTCCACCCTACCAAGCATGATGTCCCCCCTCTCCAAGGACAGGTCTCTCCTTACAACATATGCAAAGTATGTTAGACGGAGTACCTCCAAAAGTATAATTCAGTAAGAATTCTATGTGTCTTCCTTCAGAAGACCCCCATTCTGAAGAACAGATTGTGAGGAAGAGTTTGGGGATGGAAGAAAAGATTCAAGGTCCCTGAGGAAACATAAGGCAAGAAGAACCAGTTATAGAGGAGGAAATGGAGGAGGTTCCGTCCTTCTAAGACAGGAGGGAACATGCTGAAGAATTGAACCCAGAGCACACCATGCCATCACAAAGCAAGTCTTCATGACCTAATAAAGCTGACATCCCTGCTAGAGGATTCCAGAAACCCTGAATCAGTCCTGGCCACCTAGAAACCAGATGCCAGGCGATGGCACTCTTAACACCCCAGGGAGTGAAAGAAGTTTTCCACTTTCAGGTAAGAATCAAAGATAGTTTCGAAAAGAAAGTTTACTCTGACTGGTTTAATAATGATGTTTGTGTTCTAGAAGTGATTCGGTGGCAGTGTCTCTTTAGAGGACACCTTAGACACCTACTCAGCCTTCAGAGTTCATGACATGTGTTTGTTAATGAGACCTGAAGCTCTAGCTTTAGGTTACCCCTAGAACTTGTAGCTATTTTGGAAGCCTACAATGGCAGTCCCTAAGATGACAAAGTGTGGTTTCAGAGAGCAACCTTGCATGAGGCATTCTGCCTCCTCCAGGTGGAAGTAGGGCCAGAGGGAACCCCTAAGACAATTGAATAGCCTCATTTCTATAAAGGAGATTTTTCCCAAGTAGCCTCCAAGTCCTGTGAATCTTCTGGAATTGCATATGAATGTATGTCAGGGAGTTGGGAGTGCTTCCTTTACGTTGGGGTAGGGTTATTGCGGTTAGTTATTGGTTGTGGTCAAGTCATGGCAATTCCATGAGCAACAGAAAAGAATGTTATTGGATTCTGGGCCATTTGAAAGTCTCAGTATACTCCTGTTCATGGCTGTGGCCACTGTGTAGTGCCTTCTAATCTAGGTGGCTAATTGTTCAGTACAATAACAAATAATGCTCTGACGTAATATAGGGTTTCTATTGACTAATTTTTGTAAATATATAGGTCTTTCTTCCTAGTATGTGTTCATCGGAAAGCTTCACTTCAACTTGTCCAGCATGAGTGACCCTGCTAGTATTTGAAACACCAGTATCACAGCTTCCAGTACAAGAGCAGCATGCAAACCACAACAGGGGTGTAAGGGGAGGGGCAAATTTCATCAGTTTCTCAGAATCAGTTCTCAACCTAAAGAAAGTGAGCAAAGAAGACATATAGAGTCATGAAAACCAGGAAGGTGCTTTCAGGAAGGATCCAACCCATGTGTCCACTAGACTTCTCTGCAAACTCCTTCTGAAGAATAAGTCTGTCAAAACAAATTTATAGGACACTGCTGTGACTTCAGGTAACAGGACCATGGATAGATAAACTATGTGTACAGACTAGCATCTGATCCACAGTTATAGTCTTCCCCCTTGATGTCAGGGGTGGGGGAAATATATATATGCTTTCATGATTCTTTCCTCTACCTCACAAACAGCTGTCTGATCCACTCCAATCTGATGTCCCAAATGGGATTCTCTGAAGGCAGCAGAGAAAAAAGAACTAGTTAGGTCTAGTAGAAGAGTAGTGGTGGTGAGGAGGAAAACCAAGAGGCCGAGAATGGGACATTAAACCTCCCTCTATCTCCAAGTCTGACATCAGTATCCTCAGGCTCTATCATCTATGGGCTCCTTGCTCAAAGGATAGTAATTTCTGTATGTGGTAGTTCTCTGCTTCACAGCACACCTTTTTACTTGAGTCTCCTATATTTGTTGATGATGACCTATTAAAATAGAAAAAGAAGGAACATTCCCAGAGTCATTCTATGAAACAAGAATAACCCTAATATCAAAATCAGGCAAAGATATTACTAAGAAAGAAAACTACAAACCAGTATCTCTCACTAATATAGATGCAAAAACCCTTAACAAAATCCTCTCAAATAGAATCCAAAAGCACACAAAAAAATTCATCATGACCAAGTGAGATTCATAACAGATATGTAAGAATGGCTTAAAACAGGAAAACCAATCAACACAATTCATTATAATAACAAAGCAAATGATGAGAACCGTATGATCATAGCAATGGATGTGTTGTTACTGTTGTCATGTGCCGTCGAGTCGCTTGCGACTCATAGCGACCCTATGTACAACAGCCCTAAACTCCGCTCTGTCCTGTGCCAATCGCACTGTCTCTGACACTCCCATCCCAATTATCCCAGTCACTGAATCAATCCACCTCATAGAGGGCCTTCCCCTCCTGCGCTGTCCCTCCACCCTCCCAAGCATGATGTCCCTCTCCAAGGACCGGTCTCTCCTTACAACATGTCCAAAGAATGTTAGACAGAGCCTCAGAATCCTTGCCTCCAAGGAGCCACCCGGTTTAACCCTTTTCAAGACAAATCTGTTTGTTTTCCTAGCAGTCCATGGTATTCTCAATACTCTTCTCCAGCACCACAGCTCAAAGGCATCAATTCTCCTTCTATCCTCCTTGGTCATTGTCCAACTCTCTGATGCATAACAAGTGATTGCTAAGACCATGGCCTGTATCAGATGCACCTTAGTCTCCAGAGAGATACCATTGCTCTTCAGTACTTTGGAGAGGTCCCTAACAGCAGACTTTCCCATGGCAATGCGCCTTTTAATTTCCTGGCTGCTGGTGCCAAGACTGTTGACTACAGAGCCAAGCAAACTAAAGCTGTGTACAATCTCAATCTCTTCACCATCCATCCTGATGCTGCCAATTGGTCCAGTGGTGAGAATCTTTGTCTTCTTGACATTGAGCCTCAATCCATATTGTAGGCTGCAGTCCTTGACACTCTGCAGCAGGCGCTTCAGGTCCTCTTCAGTTTCAGCAAGCAGGGTTGTGTCATCCGCATAACGCAGGTTGTTGATAAATCGTCCACCAATCTTGACCCCACATTTCTCCTCATAGAGCCCAGCCTCCCGGATAATCTGTTCTGCATATAGGTTGAAAAGGTATGGAGATAGGACACATTCCTGGCATACGCCCTTCCCAATTTTGAACCATGCAGTGTTGCCTTGCTCTGTTCTGACGACTGCCTCCTGGTCCAAGTATAAGTTTCGCATTAGAACAATCAAGTGTTCTGGGATTCCCATTCTTCTCAGCAATGGATGTAGAGAAGGTATTTGAGAACACCCCTTCCTGATAAAGACACTCAACAAAATACGAGTAGAAGGGCATTTCCTCAACACAGTGAAAAGTATATATGCAAAACAAAGAGCCAATATCATTCTCAATGGAGGAAGACTAAAAGCAGTGTCTTTGTGAACAGGGACTAGAAAAGGATGCCCATTTTCACCACTTCTATTTAATAATATATTTGAAGTCCTTACAAGGGAAATATGACAAGAGATGGAAATAAAAAGGCATCCAGATCAGCAAAGAGATGATTAAACTGTAACTATATACAGATGATATGATAGTGTACACAGAAAACCCCAAGGACTCAACCACACAACTATTAGAGCTAGTAGACCAATTTAGTAAAATGGCCGAATATAAGATCAATATTCAAAAATCAGCAGGACTCCTGTAAAAAGAAAAGGGAACCAAGAAAGCAATACCATTTACAATAGCCAACCACAAATTGAGATACTTGAAAATGAACCTAACTAGAGACATGACAAAAAGACCTATACAAAGAAAACTACAGAACATTTTTGTAAGACATAATAAACGATATAAAGAAATGGGAAAATATGCACTGTTCATGGATAGGAAGACTCAATATTATTAAAATGACTATCCTACTAAAAGCAATCTACATATTCAACATAATCCCTATATAAAGGCCAAATTCATTTTTCAAGGAGATTAAAAGAGATATTGTCAAGTTTATTTGGATAGGAAAGAGACCAGGAGTAAGTAAAGCACTTTTTTTCTGGGGGAAAAAAAGAGGAAGGCATAACAGTCTTTGACTTTAAAACCTACCACACAGCCGTAGTAACCAAAACAGCATGGTACTGGTACAATGGCAGATACACAGACCAATATAATAGAATTGAGAACCCAGAAATAGAACAGCTATCTATGGTCAACCGATATGTGACAAGGAAATAAAATCTATAAAATGGGGAAATGACAGCCTTTTCAACAAATGGTGCCAGCAAAACTGGACTGCTACCTGCAGAAAGCTGAAGCAGGATCCACATCTCTCTCACACCATACACAAAAATCAACATTACGTGGATCAGAGGCCTGGGAGTAAAGCCTAAAACCATAAAGTGCATCAGCAACAAACTGGGATCAAGCTTAGACAGCCTTGGTCTATTGTATAAAGAGACTGACTGTCAAACACAGCCAGAAATGCTCATTCTGGAGAGGATAATATTGATGAATGGGACCCTCTAAATCCCTGTGCACATTAAAACCTTCTTCCACCATAGTGAAAAGAAAACCTATTGACTGGGAAAACACATTTGGCAATACCGTCTCAGACAAGGTTATCATATCAAAATTTAACAATCCTACAGGGCCTCCCTGGAAAAAAAAGACCAATAACAAAATTACAAAATGGGCAGAAAAACATGAAAAGATTTTTCACAAAGGAGGATATTTGGATGACCAACAGACACATAAAGAAATGTTCAAAATCACTAGCAATAAGAGAGATGCAAATTAAAACCACTATGAGATACTATCTCACTCCAATAGCAGTAACAAAGTTTAACAGGATAGCAAGTAATAAATGTTAGAGAGGATGTGGAGAGACAGGAACATTTATACATTATTGGTGGGATTGTAAAATGATACAACCACTCTGGGAGGTAGTTTGATATTTCCTCAAAAAGCTGAACATAGAAATTCCATATGATCCAGAGATTCCACTTGTTGGAACATACTCCCGGAAAATGAGAACTGAGGCTGCACAGAGACTTGTACACAAATATTCAGGGCAACATTATTCACTATCACAAGAACATGAAAACAGCCCAAATATCCAACCACAATCGAATGAATGGATTGAGACATTATGGTACATTCACACGATGGAATACTACATTGCAGGAGCAATGATTTTGTAAATTACTACCTAATTTGGGAGGGACTGGAGAGCACTATGCTGAGAAAATTAACCAGTCTCATAAGGACAAACATTGTATAAGACCATTATTGTAAAATAAGTATGAGGATCCAATGGGGGGGAGGGGGAAGCAAGAAGGGGGGAGATGGGTGTGGATAATCATAGGGTCACACAATTTAATGGGTGGAGGGGGAAGTGAAGGAAATGGGAAAGATCTAGTGTGAAAAACAATGTATATAAACTTTGTAAATAAACCAGTATAAATTTTTTTAAAAGGTGAAAAAAAGAACATTTCTGGAAAAGCCAAACTCTTTGAGTAAAATAGTTCCTATCTATAAAGAGGGTGCTGCCAGAGTGCTCTTTGGAGGCAAGAATGATGAGGCTTTGCATCACATACTTTGGGCATGTTGCTAGTAGGGACTAGTTCTTGGAGAAGAACATGATGCTGGCAAGGATGGAGGGAGGGCAAAGGAGAGGAAGACTCTCAACCAGGTGAATTGACACGGTGACTGCTGAAATAGACTCTTGTGTGTCAGAAGTGCAACGATGGTGCAGGATAGTACAGGGTTCAGATCTTTCGTTTATAGGGTCCTTATGAGTTGTACTCAACTTGACAGCATCTAACAACAACAAAGAACATTGATAAAAACTCAGCTTTGGTGGCTTGGTGGTAAGGAGTTGGACTGTCAAGCCAAAGGCAAACTATTCCAATCCACCAGCTGCTCTGAAAGGGAAAGATGAGCAGTCTCCTTCCACGCAATTTACCCCCTTTGAAAACCTACTGAAGGGTCAGCTGTGGGTCAGTTCTGACTCCATAGTACATAACAACAACCTATTGATAGGATAAAATCAACCAAGCTTTTCCTCCTGGTTACAAGAGTGCCTGAATGTTCACCAAGCAAAATACTTTTCTTCTGCCAAAAGTATTGCCTCACCAAGCCTCTTCTTTGTCAGTCGTCTACACTTTAGTATGAATGTTATTACCAGATCACTACACTTTGGGGCAGATGGCTAACAGTAGGCTCTGATAGAAATGAAATTATGTCACAAAAGAGGGAGGAGGGACTGTAAGTTATAATTTAAGGCCTAAAGTAAACCTGAGACTGCAATGCTTAGCATGAAAACTCTCAGTGGAAGAGACTGTGCTATAAAGAAAATAATTTCCTCGGAAAGGAGAAAAGAGACTGTCCAGAAACCAAAACATAGTCCTACCCAAGTGCAGCCACATTTCTGCTCACCTCCAGCTCTCTGAAGAGCTGGTATGAAACACCCAGTCACGCTTTCCCAGTAAGAATAACATATTGAGTCCCTACTATCTTATTGTCTCATACCCCACAGAAAGCAGAAGGTTGCAAACACCTGCGGGCACTGCTGAACTGGGAAGATTATGATGACGTGAAAGACTTACGCAGAAGCATCCTGCTGGACATCCTCTACGAAAGCATCATCTTTGCAGTGGGTAAAGGCTTCCCATGGGTCAAGGTGGTCCAAGTGACTAAGTTCACAGAGGAGTTGCTCCAGGAAGCTAAAGGTAAGGGGCACCCAGGGCAGGATTCAGTGAGGCTGGGAGGGAGTTCAGGACCTGCTTGTAATCCATGACTATTGAAGACCTCTGAGCAGCTGGGGGCCTTCTTTTCCAGGTCTTGTCACATGCTTATAAACTATGTGCCTGTCAAATCTTTCTGGAGGGTGGAGCAATCCTTATTATCTCTTCACTAAGCTTCCTGGCTACAAATCTTTTACCACCCCAAGCTGCTCACACAGCAGCCAAGATATTTGTGTTGTGTTTTTGTTGTGTTTTTGTTTGGCAAAACAAAAAATCAAGCGTGTAACTCCCCTGCTTAAAGCTTTTCATTGGCTCCCCAGTGGTCTGCCAAATGTCTCGGGGGAACAACTGTGCAGGTACCAACTTGCTTACATATGAAGAGGAGAAGTGTAGCAATCAAGGAAGTTTATAAAGAAAGTGTCTTTCTCACCCTTCACCTCTTGGGGGCTTTCAAAGGAATCAGCAATCAGTGTCTCTTCCCTGTAGCCCCATGACACATGACAATATGGACTATGAGTCTCCATCTTGGCCTGTGAAATGTAGGCTCATTCATCACTCAGCCTTTCTGTGGCTAGTAACTCACCTAGTAATGATTCACTCAGCTAAGAGACATCCAAACCAAATAAAGCCAAACTTGCTGTGGAGTTTTTCCAACTCATAGAGATCTTATAGAAATAAGTAGAAGTGCTGTGTTGGATTTCCAAGGTTGTAAATCTTTATGTGAACAGGTTGCTACATCTTTCTCCCACAGACATGAACTTTTCAGTTAGTGGCTCAGATCTTAACCACTGTGCCACCAGGGCTTCTTTTAAGAAACATCAGCACATGCTAAAACAAGCAAATGGCTAACGCTTGATGAGGGATGGGATATGAGAGTGCTTCCAAGTAGCCTCCTATAGTATATTTACTGAGGATTTATCAGGAACCTGTGTTATGCAGATGATCCAACTTTACTATCAAAATACGAGGAAGACTTGAAGCACTTGAAACATAAGACCAATGACTGTAGCCTTCAATATGTATTACATCTCAACATCCAGTAAACAAAAATCCTCATCACTGGACCAATAAGAAACATCATGATAGATGGAGAAAAGATTGAAGTTGTCAAAGATTTCATTTTCATTGAATCCAGCAACATACCTGGTAGCAGCAGTTAAGAAATCAACACAGGCTACAATGGTAAATCTACTGTCAAGGACCTCTCTAACATCTTGTAAAAATAAAGTGTAGGTGATGAGAGGACAGATGAGTCTGGTTCTATTAACTCCACAAAAGGGAACAGTTACTATCAGCAACATCCACTATGCAAAACCAATTCCCAAAAGGTGAAACATAGTCTTCACAGTCTTGAATTACTTCTAATTCCAACACCTATCATACTACTCCATTACTGGGTCAGAAATCCATTGTAATAGCTATACAGACCTCACCAAACCATACTTGAAGCTATGGGGCTTTCTGGTGAAGTTAACAAGTTAACTCCAGTACCAGAATATAATTTCTCAATTAAGACAACTTCCTAAGTGCGTTTTCAGGTCCTTCAGCCTTCATCTTTATGGCTTTAGGCTCTATTGTTGTTGTTCCGGTTCTTGTTGTATGTGCCATTGAGTTGCCTGCAACTCATAGCAACCCTATGTACAAGAGCCCTAACCCCTGCTCTGTCCTGTGCCAATCTTATTGTCTCTGACACATCTACACCCATTACCCCAGTCACTGAATCAATCTATCTCATCGAGCCTCTTCCTCTCTTGCCCTGTCCCTCCACCCTCCCATGCATGATGCCCATCTCCAAGGATTGGTTCAGCCTTACATGTCCAAAGTAGGTCAGATGAAGCTTCAGAATCCTTGCTTCCAAGGAGCAGCTTGGTCTCACCCTCCCTAGGATGAACCTGTTTGTTCTCCTTGCAGTCCATGGTACATTCAATACTCTTCTCCAGCACCACAACTCAAAGGCATCAACTCTCCTTCTGTCAGCCCTAGTCATTGCCCAGATCTCTGACGCATAGCAAGTTAATTGCAAAGACTATGGCCTGGTGGGTTCAAATTGCCAATCTCTCAATTAACAGTTAAGTGCTTTATCACTGTCCTACTCTTTCTCCTGGAAACAGGAGAAATGCAAATTTTCTCACCACAAACTTTCAATTGTGCTGACAAGGTGTGCTTATAACCAGCAAGGCTGGATGCTCAGGTGCAATCTAGTCACCTCTACGTTAAGTTGGGTTTGTAACATCTTGACTATTTTTTAAAGGTTCAATTTGTGGAAGGCTCTGATGGAAACTTAAAAGAGCCCGAGTTCCCACCTGCTTGAAGTTGGCATTCTTTTTCCTGCTTGTCAGTGTTTGTTCTGGCCAGGAGCCACTTAGAGCTCTAACTATAGGGTTTAACTTTGGTACCCGGATATTCTTGTGAACAGAGGAAAGGCATGACTTTGCGGGATGCCAGAAAGCCCCTGGGTGTGGCTGAGGAGGTGATTGGAGTGGAATGAATCTTCCTAAGAATCTCTGAGACTAGAGCAATTCAGAGCAATGTTCCATCTGGCCAATTTCTTTGGGCAGTAGCAGTGTCATGTAGGTAGCAAGACTGGGAGAATGGACTGTAGGAAAAAAACAAGATATAGAAGCTGTGCGGCCAGTCAACAGGTAGGGTGGACTGCATAACATGGTGCCATGGAGGTGATCACAAGTGAAGAGATTAGGGAAGGACTTTGAAAATCTTGCTGGCAGGACTGGTTGATAATGGTGTTAGGACTGTTAGGTCGACTACAACTCACAGCGATTCTGTGCATAAGATTCCATCTTCATCGTCGTCGTCGTCATCGTAGTCGTCATCCTCATCATCATCTCTGACATGCTTGAGCCCATTGTTACAGCCACTGTGTAAATCCATTTTGTTGAAGGTCTTCTTCCTTTTCTCTGATTCTTTATCTTTCCCAGCATGATGTCTTTAAGTACAGATTCTTCTTGACAATATGCTCAAATTACGTATGTGAGACCAGGTTTCACCATCCATGATCACTCTGGCTGCACTTCCCCCACAATAGATTTATTTGTTCTTTTGGTAATCCATAAGCTATTCAATACTCTTCTACAACACCATAATTCAAAGGCTTCAATTCTTCTTCAATCTTCCTTATTAATTTTCCAACTTCCAGATACCTAGGAAGCAACTGAAAATGCCATGGCCTGTATCAGGTGTGCATTGGACTTCAAACTTACAGCCTTGCTCTTTAACACTAAAGTGCAGGCAAAATGGCTTTTCTTGCTCATTAGCTTTGATTTTTACCATATGTCTGGGTGGAAATATGCAAACTAGATAGGGAAATGACTCATGCTGGAATTAGTTAGCTTTGCCATTCCACTAGACTAAAATTAAGACGGCTTAGTACCAACAGAAGATGGGACTCTTACTATCAGCAAGGAGAGAAAAGCCAAGAACACAAAGAGTGGCTTTGGGGGCAGGAGATTCCTCTGTCAGTCAGACTAAGAATAGCTGCTGCAGTGGACATAAGAGAGAATCAACTTTGGACTGCTGCTCCACGGAGTAAGAGCCAGGGGCCTTCAGTTAAGCTTGATAGAGGGCTGAGGGGAGATGCCATAATTGGCAGAACTAAATGAGACTAAAACTAAAGTACTGAAGAGCAACAATGTCAGTCTGAAGACTAAGGTGCTTCTGATCCAGGCCATGTTGTTGTTGCAATTGTTGTTGTTGTTATGTGCCGTCAAGTCACCTGGGACTCATAGCAACCCTATCCTGTGCCATTCTTATTGTCTCCGACACACCTATCCCCATTACCCTGGTCACTGAATCAATCCATCTCACAGAGGGTCTGCCTCTCCTGTGCTGTCCCTTCACCCTCCCAAGCATGACGTCCCTCTCTAAGGACAGATCTTGCCTTGAAACACGTCCAAAGTATATCAGATGATGCTTCAGAATCCTTGCCTTCAAGGAGCAGCCTGGCTTTACCCTCACCAGGACGAACATCCATAGTCTTTGCGGTTACTTGTCATACATCAGAAAGCTGGACTAGGAGTAATAGAATGAGAATGGATACCTGTGAGTTGTGGTGCTGGAGAAGAGTATTGAATACACCATGACTTCTAAGAGAACCGGCAGGTCCATCTTAGAGAAGGTGAGACCACATAACAACAACAGCCTCTCTGTGAAGGAGCTCTGGTGGACTAGAGGTAAGAAATCAAGCTGCAATCCTAAAGGCATTTGCTGCACAAGAGAAGGATGGGCAATTTCTTTCCATAAGATTAACTAACTCTGAAAGTCTGCTGGAAGGTCAGCTGTGGCTCAATTCTGATTTGACAGCACACAACAACAACAATAGCCTCTCTGTGAGGGAGCTCCGGTGGCCTAAAGGTAAAAAGCTACACTGTAATCCCAAAGGCCTGTGGTTCAAAGCCACCAGCTGCTCTCTAGGAGAAATATAGATAATCTCCTCCCATACTGTTTGCTGTCTTTGAAAACCCACTGGAAGATCAGCTATGGGTCAGTTCTGACTCAGCAGCACACAACAACAGCCTTGCTGTGGGAGAAAAATATGAGAGTTTGCTTCTGGGAAGATTGTTGTTGTTGCTATGTGCCATCAAGTTGCTTGTAACTCATTTATTCCACTGAACTCTGCTCTATCCTGAGCCAGTCTCTCTTTGACACAACTACACCCATTACCCCAGTTATTGTGTCTATTAAGCTCATCCAGGTTTTCCTCTCCTGCACTGTCCCTCCACCCTTCCAAGCACGATGTCCTTTTCCAAGGACTGGCCCCTCCTAACCACACGCCCACAGTATGTAAGACAGAGCCTCAAATTCCTTGCCCCCAAGGAGGAACATGGTTTCACCCTCTTTAAGACAGACCTGTTTGTTCTCTTAGCATGCCATAGTATGTTCAACACACTTCTCAGCACCACAACTCAAAGCCATCAACGATTCTTCTGTTATCCTTAGTCCAAGTAATTCCAAAGACCATGGCCTGGGTC